TATGTATGTATGTATGTATGTATGTATGTATGTAGGTATATATTTAAAGTCACAACCCCTGGTATGCCCAAATATGGGAGGAAGGCCACAGTTTCCATTCTCTGTCCTTCGGCTCGTCACAAGAGACCATCCAGACAGAAACCCAATATTTTTTTACTGTTGCCTTTTTGTTACATACATACATACATACATATATACAGTTCTTCTCACACAGATTTCTTTCCCTCCCTCAGGTATTTGTAAAAGCGCATTTTGACTATGATCCTGTCACTGACAACCTCATTCCCTGCAAGGAAGCTGGTCTGAAATTTGTAGCTGGGGATCTTCTTCAGATTGTCAACCAGGATGATCCCAACTGGTGGCAGGTATCATCAGCCTTATGTCTGTCAATGAACCATGTGTAATATGAAGACTTAATGTAAGACAGAACTAGACAATTGACTAATGCAGAGTGTTCAGAACCCACAGCCATGCCAATGTCTTAGAGTCTATGTTTCGTCCCTAAACTAGCATACTATTTTTAGGTGCAATGGAGAGGATCCTGATCAGTTGCTAGTTTATGTAGTATCTGTACCTGAAATAGGTGAAGAATGGGGACAACACACATTGTTTCAGACAGCAAAATATTTTGAGCCCTTCTTGGTAATTTATAACTGTTTACTAAAAAGCTTAGCACTACAATAAAATTAACAAGCTTCAAGTCAAAGGAGCATAAAGGCAGTCTTCTTATGTTAGCCTCTTTCTACAGTTGTATCAAGACTGTTGTTTTATCCGGGGGTCTCCAGCCTTTGGGCCACAGCCTACTACCAGATTGTGGGCTAATTGCCATCGGACCGCATGAATGGCCGGCTGAAGTGTGCATCTCTGCGTGCACGCACAGTACCACTCGCAGGAGCCTCTTGTGGGTGCTCACGGCTCCACTCGCACAAGTGTTGCCACAACCTCCATGTGCACACACATGCACATTCATTTGCCCCTACCACAAAATAATTCTGTCTTTCACCCCTTTCCCCGCTCTGGGCTGCCAAACCAGAATGATTGGGCAACTCTGGTTTAATCAATCTTGTTAATCAGAGAGCATTTCTGGTAGAACCAGAAAAACAAATTCACGGTAAATTGAAATCTAAATGGAATGGAATAGAACCTGTAATCTCTTCAACCCATTCTCACTTAGTTAAACTGCTGATGTCTCCACCGTCTCCCATTTTTTTGTGCTGAAGTGATAAAATTCCTGCCCCATTCTGATATGTTAAGAAATTTTTTCCTTCTATGTTGGAAGTTTGTTCCAACTTCAGCAAGCTATTTATTGTGCTTAGAAACATATCATTTTTCTCAAATTTACTCTGTTCTGGATTGTTATAGGAGGTGATAGAAGAAGTTAGCAGAAGGCAGCATAATATAATATTAAGAGCACACTATGATGCTTCCACTACTAAAACCAGAACTGGGGTGTGGAAAAGAGGTTGCCATCAATACTTCTGACAGAGTTTGTTAAATGAGAGTTTATGCTTTTTGTTAAAAGTGGTTCCTAAAAGTTTTCCACGTGACTCTTGAATTCAAATTTAAATTAGGGATGGGTTGATTATTACCTATGGTGCATGTTTTGCTTGATTCTGATCACAGCAAACAATAATGGAGCTCCCACAAAACAATATAAATGTGATATATTTTGAGATTGATACATGCTGAATTCTGCCTACTACTTGGTGGCAATTTTGGGGGTATCTGCCATTGTAGCAAGACCACCCTTGTTCCCATTTGACCACACCATTATTCTTTCTTTCCATGTGATCTAGATGCAGTGAGAGAATAAAATTGTGGGTTCATAGAACATGGGCAAGAATTAGAAATTGTCTCCCAATGGTAGAAGCACAGAAGGAGACAGAGTAGCATATCCCTGCTATGACAGCAGCCCTACAATTTAAAAAAGTTCCACAGAAGCAGCTACTTTATAATGAATTTTCTTGGAATTTAATAAAAAACATGGGGAGCCAATGTAAACCACAGGAGACCAAACTGGGCAGGGATAGCAATAGCAATAGCAATAGCAGTAGACTTATATACCGCTTCATAGGCCTTTCAGGCCTCTCTAAGCGGTTTACAGAGAGTCAGCATATTGCCCCCAACAATCTGGGTCCTCATTTTACCCACCTCGGAAGGATGGAAGGCTGAGTCAACCCTGAGCCGGTGAGATTTGAACCGCTGACCTGCTGATCTAGCAGTAGCCTGCAGTGCTGCATTTAACCACTGCGCCACCTTGGCTCTTATAGATAAGGCACTCTTTTAACTACACACATCCTTAAGAATTTTACCAAAACTTACCTTAATTGTTGAAAACGTTTATAAAGTACATGATATAAAGAAACTCAAGAAGTTTCCTTAGTTGATTAAGAAGTTTCTAGTCAGCCCTGGAGGCCATCTTTTTCTTCAGCGTTGCCACACTTGGTGGATGGGCTGTGGGAACTGGGGTGCGTGTGAGATGTATGGCCATAACAACATTCTTTCACTGGGCATCAAGGACGTTCAGCCTGCACCTGGAGAGGCGCGACTGAGAAGCAACTCCAGTTAGGATGGTGACCTGATTGGACCATGTGGTGGACATGTGGGTGCTGGGGAAGGGACTTTGACTTTCCTTTAGGTGGGGAAAACCCGGGAGGCTTCAGATTTGGATTTTCCCAGATGTGCCAGTATGATATCTCTAATAAAATGGAACTTTGAGGAAAATGCCTGCCTTGGAGTCTTACTTCTGTCGGGGTGTTACTTGGAACCCCAACATTTCCTTCATTATATGAAATGAAAAAACTGGAAGGAAGAATTTATCTGCCTGGCACTGTCCATTTACACAGAGAAAATGCTCATTGAGGGCCCTACTTGACTCTTACTTCAGATGCTCAAACGTCCCTTTGTTTTTGTAGGCCTGCCATGTGGAAGGTGGCAGTGCAGGGCTGATCCCAAGCCAGCTGCTGGAAGAGAAACGCAAAGCTTTTGTGAAGCGCGACCTTGAAGTCACACCATCTTCAGGTAAAAGGCACAGGCCCATTCAGCCGCAGAATTGGAACCACTTAGGTACATGAAAAACAAGATTCTCCATAACGTCGACAAGACCAACAGAAAATTAGTGCCACACATTGATTTTAGAGATCAGGCTACAAGCATGCGTGAACATCAAAGGGTAAAGAACACAAGATAACCTTGCTGCCTCAGGACTAAGTCCTGTTTGATCCAGTGACCAACCAGATGCAACCCAAAAATTCATAAGCAGCATATAGAGCATCCTCTACTGCTACTGTCCAATAGTTTATGATTTAAGATATATTGCATTACCTTCTGATCTGGAGATTGTATAAAACTGTCAAGATCAGAAGTCAGTGTAATACTTTTTCCTCCAAATTTTCCCCCCACACTTTCTTTCAAAATTGTCTAAAGAATTGATGGTTATCACAACATCTTTGGCAATGAATTATATAGTTTAACTGATGCATTTCACCTAAAAGTATTATTTTTATCTGAAAGAAGGATTAGTCTCTTCCCCACATAGCTTTTTCCTCTTCAATGAGCTTTGCATTCAATGGAATTAAACTCAGCAATTCATGGACTAAGTCCAGTAGTTTAATATTTACACAAGACCATTTCTTCTTTTCAAACTTTCTTTTTGGGGAGACTTTGGGAAGAATTCAGTTTTTTTTTTTTAAGGTAGGTACGGTTGAATGAAAAATAATGCCTTCAAACCAAGTTTTAATTCTGTATTTCTATTAATTTTTGTTGCTTCTTTCTTTTTTAATGTATTGTGAGTTTATGTTGAACACCACCCTATTGGAGCTAAGCAGCCTTATAAAACATTTTGTAAATAGTGAGTAAATAAAGCCACCAACAGATCATAGTGCTGATGTGCTTGAAGCTCTGTTACCTTTTTTTAAAAATCCCTTCTTGAAAAAAAATGTTTGTGTTACTGTAGTTCATGAAATGGAAATCTCCAGTGCCTATTCATCAATGCATTTTAAACAGTGATTGAATTTTTGACTACTGAAGGAGTCTATTTGGGACAAAAATATATAAAAAGAATGAACTGGGAAGAGCTGATCTGTGATCTGTTGCTCACATTCTGACATCAGAAATAACAGCTTCAAGAACTGAAATCTACAACAATTGCTGTTGTCATACAATGAGAAAGGAGGTGATACATTTTTTCTTAGCATTGTGACAAACCACAAAACATGGGCTCATGACTATGATTCAGACATGAAGTGTCAGTCCATATTGTTATTCAATGGATTTCCATGAATTTGGAAACACAATAAACTCAGAGGATTATACTGTAATATTTGAAATTTTTAAATAATTAAGCAGAGTTTAATGAAAAACAAAAGAAGAACATTTTTCTGCAACATGATAACTAGGGTTGTTTATGAACCATTCAAGAGGCAACTGCAAAGTTAGATCTTACCCAGTAGTGGGATTCAGCCAGTTCACACTACTTTGGGAGAAGTGGTTGTTACATTTCTGAGCAGTTTGGTGAACTGTTTTTTGGAAGAAATCATTAGGGCAGAGAACCGGTTGTTAAATTATTTGAATCCCACCATTGATCTTACCCTATCAGCTATGCAGTCCAGTCTTGGCACTATGCAGTTTCAAATTTTTCCCACAATTAAAGAAATACCTTTATGAGCTTCTCTTTGTCCTAAATGAAGTAGTAGAAATGATTGTCGGGACATGGTTGAAGGGACAAAATGTGAAGGATTTTATGACAGTCTTAGGAAACTTGTCCAGTGTTGGCAGATAGGACCAGTGATTATGTGGAAAAGTAAATACAGATAACAAAAGAAATAATGTCAAGGATTGTTTTCCTATTTCATTTATTAAAATATTTCCATTTGAAATTATGGAAGTGAAAATATTATTTTTCATTCATCTTTTATTTTTATTGGTTTTGAGCCTTTCTCTCCCCCTCCCTCCTCTTTGTTTTGTGAATTTGAAGCATAGTCTGGATTTCTAACAATTTTAAGGGGTGGGATACTTTTCCAGATAGTAATATGAATTATTTTATTTATTCCAAAATATGTAAATCACTATCCACCTACAGTTGTCTTTAGAACAAAATGCCTCTTAGATCACACCAGTGGTGGGATTCAAACAATTTAACAACCGGTTCTCTGCCCTAATGACCAGCTGGGTAGGCATGGCTTGGTGGTCATGTGACTGGGTGGGCGTGACCAACTCAACATCACTCATGTCAATGGGCGCTTCACCTTAACTGTTACAATGTAATAAGGGTTAACTGGAGAGGCAGTTTCTGTTAGCAGAGCAATAAAGATTAGGCTAGAGACAACACCGGAATGTTTCTTTCCTGCCTTCCTTGCAAGATTAGCTTTGTAAAGTGGAAAAAAACAAAATGAGATTTCTTCCAACAACCAATTCTCCGAACTGCTTAGAAAGTTAACAACCGGTTCTTCAGAATAGCTGCGAACTGGCTGAATCCCACCACTGGATCACACTAAAGACACCTTTAGTTAACATTTTGCTTCAGTGTTCCAGACTCAGCTAAGATCATAACATTTTAATGACTCATTGTTGCTTGCCAATATCACATCATGTAGAAATAATTTAGAGACGTCACTATTTGTTTTATCCTACCTCCCCAAAAATAAAAAACCTCAAACACATAGAAAGGATTTGAATTGACAGCTCTTTGACTATAAGCGGAGAACAATTACTGTAATTAGACCATTTCTTAAACAGGTTTTTTTGTTATTAATTGTTTCCTAGAGCTATGTCATTCTGGAATTTTACTTGTCCTTATTCCACCTTATTGAATTTGTTTCATGTTTCCTTTCTTCTTCTGGCAGGGGCCTTGTGTGGAAGCCTTAGTGGGAAGAAAAAGAAAAGGATGATGTATCTGACCACCAAAAATGCAGGCAAGTGTGGTACTCATATTTTTCTAATGAATGATTTATTGTATGAAGCAAATATAGTTGCAGAAATCCCTGATAAAGCACTGAATCCTGTAATCTTCTTCATCCTGGCCTGTTGTTCACCAAAGTGCTATTTTGAATGGACAAAAGGTAAGAAGAGCCAAAGTTTTCTTTCTTTGCACTGTATTTATTTATTTATAAACTTACATGGCTGCCTACATTACACAAAATAATCCTAGGTGGCTTACAATAAAACAATAAATAAAGCAAACTAACTTCTGGACACCACTACATATCCCACATATAGTGGCACAATATCACATATTCTCCCCATGCACTTTCCCTTGTTGGGCTTGCTTCTGTCCTAGTCCAGAGGCTAGCTAAAGAGCTAGGTTTCACAGCCCTCTAAAGCAAGGGTGAAATCTACTTACCTTCACTATCGGTTCGCAAAGGTGAGCATGCGCGCATACGCATAACCTGTGCATGCACAGAGGGTAAAAAATGGATGTGATGACATATGGGTGGGTGGGCAGAGCCTGCTACCAAGCACACCTGCAAAGGTAAGTAGAACAGTGAGGGGGAGAATCCATTGTGTCACGTGATTTAGATTATCTAGACAATCAGCTTTGACACACAATTTATATTAGCTAGAAAGCAGGAAATCTTGCTTTCTAGCTAATATAAATCGTGTGTCGCAGCTCATTTTCAGAAATACTAGTTTGCCCGAACCTTAGCATTTTTTTACTACCTCTTCAGGTGAACTGGTACGAACTGGTAGCATTTCACCCCTGCTCCAAAGGATTAATAGGCCAGAGACCTTCCAAAAAGGTGAGACTGTTCCAGAGGGTTGAGGGAGCCACAGAAAAGTCATATTTCTGAAGTCCTGCCAAATGACATTTAAGCAAAATGACCAGAAGCCTGTCTACCTTGTCTGAGCTGTTGAGATGGGCAACACTCTCAGGGAGAAAACCTGATTTCATGCCATTCCAGCTTTAAATATTTTTGTACAGATTTTTCAGAAGAACAATATGTTCAGAATGTATTATTTTATTTCTTCTACTCCATATTTTCTTGCTGAACTGTGAATTTTTAATAGCTAATTTGGGGGCTGGAGAGGTCCGGTAGGGTTGGCATTCCTAGTAAATGAAACTGATGGATTTGGGAAGTTGGAATAGAAATTTGTCAAACGGTAACTTAGCAACCTTGTCTCCATTTTGATGAATCAGACTACTTCAAATAAACAATTCCTTCATATATGAAAAATAAGATTTTTAAAAAATCAAGTAAAACTTATTTTGGAAATTTCTTCAAATTTGTCCAAACATTTTCTTTGGAAAAACTGCCAAGAACTAGGTTTACTCAGCCCAGCCTAGAGAAATGAAGTCTATAATTCCTAATCACCCTCAGAAGGTCACAGGAGCTCTGCAGTACAGTTAACAGCAATATCTTTCCTCTTCTTTTCAGAATTTGATCGACATGAGCTGCTGATCTATGAAGAAGTGGCTCGTATGCCCCCTTTCCGCAGGAAAACCTTGGTGCTCATTGGTGCCCAGGGGGTTGGACGGCGAAGCATTAAGAACAAGCTTATCATGTCTGACCAGTCTCAGTATGGAACTACCATCCCATGTGGGTCATGGCTGTGGTGCAATTTGGAAGAGGGTGTCTTGGCTAGATTTGCTCTCCTTGGATTTCTGAGTACTCTTCTGCTATATTTTAGTAGCATTGTTGAATTGCAAGGTTGGGCAAAGAGAGCTTAAAGGACAGTGAGGGCTAACTTTTTTGTAATCCCGTGCCAAAAGCATGAACCTGCGTGACTGTATCCATAATACAATGTACACCTGACACACACACACGCATCCCATTTTAAGCCTAATAGGCCTCCCTGCAGCCTCCTGGGGCTAGAAATAGGCTGCGAGGGGCGTGCCACATCCCCGTGCACTCCCTTTCCATGGCACATGCGCATGCGCACACAAAAAACCCATGCACCCTTGACTCCCCTGTGTCTCCTGCATGCACCCCACTGCATATGCGGAGCAAAGACCTGAAAATCAGCTGGCCAGCTGGAGGTGCATGCGTGCATGCACAGTGGAGCTAAGCTGGGGCAACAGGTGTCATGCCTGCAGACAGGGCTTTGCATGCCACCTGTGGCATATGTGCCATAGCTTTGCCATTACGGTATAGGATGTTGGACAGCCTGTGATTTTCATCCAACAACAGATTATTTTCCACTTGAGGAATAAAAGTTGTCTGGAGTTAAGTCTTACTTAAATACTGACAATGAGGCAAACACCCTTTATTACCCTTGACTATATGGGGCTCAGGGCACGCCTGTGTTTCAAAGGGTGGCCCCTGCTTCCAAGTCTCTGCATCTATGGGGTTAAGCAACAAGCAGCACCTTCCTCAGAAATAGCATCACTCATGTTTTGTGCACACTTGTTTATTCATGGAAACCTTTTCTTCATGTAATTTCTTGATGGGAAATACTAAGCAATGCTAAAGTCCTTTTCAGGGGAAAATATTTTGATTTCATAGAGAGGCAGGTTGAGAAGGAATTATGTACCTGAAACAACCTGTGGATGGAGCAAAATGGTTTACTCTAGTTTCTCAGTTCTCTTCCTTGAATGAATTACCTAAGTTCTTACGGTTCCATCACAAAACCGCATTCGACTAAATCACGCTCGACGAAACCACGTAGCTGACGTCATCAACAGGGCGACAAAAGCGCGGAGACAGAAGCATGCTGTAAACGCTAAACCTAAAATTAACCCCTAAACCTAACCTAACCCCCCTAAATCTAATCCTAAACCTAACCCTTAACCTAACCCTAAACCTAACCCTAACCCTTAACCTAACCCTAAACCTAACCCTAACCCTAAACCTAACCCTAAACCTAACCCTAAACCTAACCCTAAACCTAACCCTTACCTTAAGTTGAATCGGCTTGCTTCCAAAGCGCTATTTAAAGCGCCCTTCTTTCTCCGCGCTCGCTGTTGTCGCCCTGTTGATGACATCAGTGACGCGGTTTAATCGGGCGCGGCTTAGTTGAGCGCGGTTTTGTCGTGCCACGAGTTCTTACGAAGTTCTGTATAGTACTATAGAATAATATAGTAGTATGTGATGCTTAGTGTACCTGGAGGGAGTACATTCAAGTCACAAACACTCCCTGGGTGACTTTCAGCCAATTCCTATCTCTCAGCCTAACTCCCTTCACAGTACTGTTGTGGAGAAAAAAATAGGGAGAGATGTGCCTGTAAATAGCAATAACAATAAACATCTTAGACTCATGTATTACCCTATAGCACTTTACAGCACCCTCTGGGCAGTTTGCAATTCAAGCATTATATGCATATTACCCCCCCAACAGGTCTTCGTTTTACTGACCTCATTTTACCAGGATCTGATATTTGTTCTTCAATTGCTCAGCCGTGGGAATTTGCTAAATTAATGCTGGCTCTACGTTTTGGCCTAGTTTTTGCCATTCTTTCAAAGCAGGAGAGGAAAGCATTAAAAAACCTGGAATGTTTTGTTTCTTACTGATGTAGTCAGCCCCTTGCCCAATTACTTCATTTGTCTTAATTTAATGGTTATGCAACATGAACTGTGCTTTTGAAAATGCTGTGCTAGCTTGTTTAAGCCCTGGGAAGGGGAGGGAGAGCTTTAAAGTGCTTTAAAATTGTGCATCACACCCATTGTTGGCTGGTTTGATGAGCATTTGAAAGAACTTTCCTTTCTCTTTTGTTATGCTATGAGAGATTGCAAAGCAGATTTTTTTAACTTAAATAAATTTTGGGCAGAGGCAGTGTCTACAACCACCTTGGGATGTTGAACAAGGAGGGATTCCCCCAGCCTAGACTTTTTTTTCTCCCCTTTGGAAGCCGTAGAGAACTTTTTCTTATTTTCAAAATGTATAAATCTCCTAAAATGTTCTGAGGATAATAATTGCCCCAAGTTTACCATGAAATGATTTCACTCAGAAAATTGTGTAAAGGCAACATGGAGAAAAGGAGGCATCACGAAAAGTCCTGTGAAGCTGCATGAGTAGCCCAAGAAGCATTATACCAAGAAATAAGAGGGAGAGAAAAGACAAGAAGGAATATTACATCGTAGGGATCTAGAGATTATACCCAAAACTCTATAAAGATAGTCTTTGACTAACAACAGTTCATTTAATGGAAGTTACATTGGCATTGAAAAAAGTCACAATACCATTTTTCACACTTACAACCATGGCAGCATCCCCATGGTCACATGATCAAAAGTCAGATATTTGGCAACTGACTCATGATAGCAATAGCAGTTAGACTTATATACCGCTTCATAGGGCTTTCAGCCCTCTCTAAGCGGTTTACAG